AAAAGAAATTGCATAAAAGATACCATAATATGAAAAAGGGCAACAAGTTGTACTAAAAATATTAAAATACCTGATTTGCAGCAGATACAATTCATGAAAAAAAATCAAAAACAGCGAATTATTACTTACTGCAAATAAAAGGTTGTATACTATATATGGGACAAGTAAAATGTTTACTTTAGGTAAATACCTATTAGTAAACAGTAGTTTAATTAGTTTTTAGACGACCCTAATGTTAGTGACCTATTTACTTGAGGTTAGTGATTTTAATTTCAGTGGGTATTAAACTAAATATCTCATTACTAGTAAAGTTTTTACTGTGGTAGGTCTATTGATTCAGTTACAACTATGTGTTTCTACAATAAAAATACTTTAGTTGACAAATTTAAACTCCACTTCAGGAAGATGGTTTTGAGAAAAATAGTTAAATGTTTGTTTCTTGAAATTTTTATTTGCACGTTTATGATCTTGAATTGTTTATCAATTAACAATCAAAACCGTAAACTTGGTAAAAATTTAAAGGTACCAAACTTCAAGAATTATGTTTTTCAAAAACGCATTTAATGTAATATATTTGTCACAGAACATGCTATATCAAAAATTATAAAAATCGATCACAGTCTATTCTTTTTATGAACAAAATATTTTTTTATTATTAGCTTCCACTACCTACTGTTTTTTGGTTGTTATTTACAGCAATCCCAAGACAAAGAAGAAAAGGCCAAACCGGAAGAAAAGGAAAAAATATCGATAATGTTCTCATTAAAAAATAAAGTAGGCGGTTTGGTGAGAGCTCTACAAGCTTTCCAAGACCTTGGCATCAATGTTCAAAGAATAGAATCAAGACCGTCTGAAACCAGCGAAAACCAAGCTGATTTTCTCGTCGATGTAGAATGCGATCCAAAAAAATTGGAACAGGTAGGCAGTAGTATTCTACATTTCTTTTAAAAGTTAAGTTTGGCAACATAATCCTTTAACGGTAGCACATTATGACCCGAAAGCTAGAATGTCTCCAAGCTTGTGCCCTAGTGGTCATTTAGGTGGACTAAGTTGAAAAGCTTTTGGTAATTTCGCGGTAATATTTGTTCGCCATTTTTATATGATGGAATAAAAATAATACCAAACATTTTAAATTATTATCTGCGGAATCAGGCAAACATATCAATGTATGCGCTACAGATAATTATTTGAACAAATAATAATATCCCAAATCATACTTCTAGAGAATTGTAACAGCTATTCACATTTTATTAAAATATTTACGTGAAATTGTTATTAGCATCCATAAAATAATTTTCTATGCCAATGTTTCGCGTTCACTTCGGTTAACTCCGCGTCAAAACTGTCAAATCCTGTGTAAGAAGTAGAAAAACTGGCAAGGGTCCCGGACAATTGTTCGAAAAGCATCTGAGCTTTGGGCCAAAATTTATCACGGTATTGTTAAAATAGATATAAAATGTTAATTAAAAAAATAAATGAAGGACGGATACTTTTATATCTATAATATGACTACTATTTATGAGGTTCCTAACACAAGTTTTGCCACGAAACAGGCCGTCAGGGTTAGTCTTATCCTAAACTTTGCCAATAAATTACTCAAAACTTATCAAAGAACTCTGTAAAATTAAGTAAAAATTATAAATTAACTTACCCCTAGTAATTAATGCCGAAATTCCTTGTAGTTTGTTATTACCATAGAGTCTTTAGGTCCATATACCAAAAAAATCACAAAAATAAAACTATAATATTTACAGTATTTACACACGCGCACAAAGTTGCTTGATATACTAGTTATAAAGTTTCCAAAAAATGAAGTCCATTCTTCTTTCTTTTTTGGTTCCAAAGTTTTCAATCACTTTATTATTAAAATTTTCAGTTCCATTTACAAAATGTTTTTCTGCGTACAACAAACCTGAAGCACTAAGTCTTTTTTCCTTCATTGTATTTCTGAGGAATGTTTTAATCTGTTTAAGCATTGAAAAACAGCGCTCTGCTTCAGATGTTGACATAGGTTTTGTTATCAAAATACCTAAAAGTTTAAGAGTTTCCTAAAATGTACAATTGAAACCTTCCTTATTCTATAAAATTGACAGCGAGACAGCTCTGGAGGTGGTACTTAATTCGTCTCTCTGATACAGTACTCGTAATTCATTTTTAAGCATATTTTTGTCTAAAAATTAAAATTGTATACATGTTTCATTTAGGAATAATTCGGGAAACTGATGCCTATAGACCGAAAACTTCTCCGACATAAATAAATTAGAAGCGACCAAATGCCCAGAGAAGTTGAACCCTGTTTTTATTTGCAATAAAACGGCATCGCATATTTCTAAGGCTTCGCGTTTTCTGCTGTTCTCTTCAATTCGTGCATTTTTTCTTATTGGTTCACCAGTTTCTCCTTGCGACATGTTTATTTCTCCTTAAATATTGTCAATAATGCTCTCCATTTGCTCCCTTGAATTGCTGCTTCGAAATTCTCCAAATCTTTCGTGACCTTAACAGAATCTGTGCATTATTTGATGAAAAATACTTAACCATAATATAAAAATTTTATCCTGAAGTTTTAATTTGTAGCCACTTGCTTGATTAATAGACGACGAATCGCGTGAAGTACTTTCTATAATGTCCACAACTGTAATGAGGTCTTTTCTATTCTCATAAACAGTATGAATACCTCGCGATTGAAAATTCCAACGTGTTTGGGAAGATTTTGGCAACCTGCGATTAATTACCTCATCCAAAAATTTTGTTCTTTGAGGAGACGTGGAAAAGAAAGAGCACAAACCAGATAAATTAGAAAAAAATATTCTAGCCTGCTTATTGACAGAACATGCACTTGTTTGTCATAACTAAATTCATCTGATGTGCATAGCAATGAACGTAATTTGCAAGAGGATATGTTTGTTCAACACACCATTTAATCCACCACTCATTACAGACGCGCCGTCATAGCTTTGAGTAATTAATTTATTTGGACTATGTTTTAATAATGGATGTAAAACATTTAAAATGCATAAGCGATTGATTTAGCGTCATGTCCATCGAGCATGTAAAATCTCCAAAATCTCTCAACTGGTCGTCCTTTACACAAATATCTGAAAACTATAACTAATTGAAATTCACAAGTAACGTCCGTCGTTTCATCGACAATCACTGTAACAAAAGGAGAATTTTCTCTTTCCTAACTTCTTCGTGATAAACATCTAACATGCACTCAAGACGTTTGTTTTTGAGGTACCTTTGAAAGCTTTTTAACTTTGAATATGAACCTTTAAGTCATCTAAATCGACGCTCAAATTCACCAGCTCCTTAAATATGCCTCTATTTTCCGAATTGACCCCTTAAAGCTAACTCAAAGGCTCCACAAAACCTTATACAATTTATAATTTGATTTTAAAAATATCGATTCTTATCCACTTGTTGATTATGTTTAATTAGAGCATCACGATAAGCCGAATTTAACTTACCAAGCATGGAAAAGCTAAAAACATGTGCACTTTAGATTTTTCATGGGATTTCATTTTATCCCATATATGGACAATATCGTCTGTGTCTTTTTTTGACCCAGTCTCGTCACCTCCAACCAAAACACATACAGAACAGTTTATTACTTTCTTCGCAACCACACAACCAATTATTTTTATCATAAATAATTTTATTAAATTTACGACATCACGATTTTTGCCCACTTCCACTTTGTTTTTTAATTTTTAAATCGGGAATTGGTCGGCCTAATTCTTTAATTTGTAATTTTTCTTCTAACGAAAAACCACTAAAAGAGTATTGTCACACTAAATTAAAAACTAGGAAATAAGATATTTAAACAAGTTTATCGAATCAAAAATACACACAATAACGTCACTAATAATACTTCGTAACGTAACGAAAAACTTAACAAGCGCGTAAAGAAATTCGGTTCAGTCAACAATCGACATTATCGAGAAATCGCGATTATCTAAACAGCTATCGGCGCTGTGCCCGGCACGATTATTCCTTGATTTTACCGTTTAAATACATGTAAAATGTCCCCATCTCTGTTGATCACATAGACTACTGGTAAAATCTCCCTCTCCCCCTAGTGCCAGCTGAGAACTGGCTCCGGTACGCGGCACGAGCTTGGAGATTTATGCAGCGCGAGGTTGCTACATTTCAAATAATTTTTGAATATATGCATAAAATAAAATAAAATTATGATGACGTTTTAAAAAGAAAAAAAATATATAAACTTTTAGGAAGACGTTACTTACTCCATTGTTAAATGTTTTATTTGCTATTTAGGACAAGTTCTTTGTGATTTATGTGCCCAAATTTGGAAGTAATAATATTCGTTTTTCGTCTTTCCTAAAAAATTTATAATTTTGCAATTGCGTCATCGTTTTAGGGGAACAGCGATATAAAACATATTGCTTATTTAATTTAAATAGTTATATATTAGTATTTATAACATTATGTATCATTTAGAGTTTCCATTCGTATTTAAGTAAGTACGTGTGTTTCGTTTAAAATAAATATTTTTCGATCTTTTAATTCGAAAATTTTATACATTTACGAAATGGTTTTAAATAATTTATTTTTCATTATATTGCTTTCCTATCATTTGCTTTTTCGATCATTTGCTATTTCGATCAATTGATATTTCGATCTCTTGCTTTTCGATCAATTAATATTCGATCTTTTGTCATTTCGAAATTTTTGGATCAAATGCTATCCGAACAAAAACATTCGATCAAATGTATTCGAACAATTGTCCGGGACCCAACTGGAGGTCAAAAACCTTTCCAACGTGTCCCTGCTCTACCAAAAAAGTCACCTAAATTTTTGGTGTTGAAAAGTAATAATTTTAAAAGCGTGTTTTGAAGAGTGTTCGTAAAAAAATAATTTGTTAAATCGTAATTGAGTAAGATATGAGTTTCTTAAAGATTAATATTTTCGATTAAAAATTTTAGCTTGGGAGATTGTTAAAAAGGGAAGTAGTGACTATGGTTATCGGGAAATATGGAAGTGAAGAAGGTGAAAATGATTTTCCACCACCAACACCACTTTCAGCCACTGCTAGTTTTGGTGAGTATCATTTTACTATACATTTACTATACATTCCAGACATTTTCCTTTCATTAAAAAGGACTCCTCACTGAATCTCGGAGTATTGAATTCCCAAAACATGTCAATCTTAATTGATAGCACGAAGTATAGATACTAGGAGTTTGAACGTAATGTTGAATGAATGGCATCAATTTGGGGGACAACATTTTTGCCGGTAGGGCGCGCCACTTTTGAAGAAGTACTCGTTTAATTAATTATTATTTGAAAATTAAACAAATTTATTAATTAAGCATTTGTTAAAAACAAATTTTTAATATTATTTAGAGGTTACTTACTTTCGGTGCTTTGAATAAAGCCACTTTTCCTAAATTCTCATTTGCCCTTCGGTACGTCCCGAATATTTGCGCAGCCAGTGGCAGAAAAAAGAACTAAGATCTGGGTTTAATATTTGGGTACATGAATTCTACAAAAAACCCTATGCCGTTCGGACTCCTGGTATATATACTTCGCACATACTTTGATTACTATACGAGGCAAGAGAGAGGTCCGACACGCCCAACATAGGGCGCGGCCATTTTGAACCCTGTGACACAGTTTACAGCTAAATAATCAGATCGCTCACTCTGCGTCGGCACTTTTGATCTCAATGTTTCAGTTTATACACTGTGCAACTCGGATAATACAATATATGAAAACCGCCTATAATAAAACAGAAGTCTACTGCGTATCCTGAATTTGTATCCCTGGAGTGGATGTTATTTTGGAACTTTCAACTGGTCCGAGTGAGCTAACTGATTCTTTAGCAATAAACTGTGACCTCAAAAATAATATTCACTGACACCACATACTTTGATTACTATACGAGGCAAGAGAGAGGTCCGACACGCCCAACATAGGGCGCGGCCATTTTGAACCCTGTGACACAGTTTACAGCTAAATAATCAGATCGCTCACTCTGCGTCGGCACTTTTGATCTCAATGTTTCAGTTTATACACTGTGCAACTCGGATAATACAATATATGAAAACCGCCTATAATAAAACAGAAGTCTACTGCGTATCCTGAATTTGTATCCCTGGAGTGGATGTTATTTTGGAACTTTCAACTGGTCCGAGTGAGCTAACTGATTCTTTAGCAATAAACTGTGACCTCAAAAATAATATTCACTGACACCACATACTTTGATTACTATACGAGGCAAGAGAGAGGTCCGACACGCCCAACATAGGGCGCGGCCATTTTGAACCCTGTGACACAGTTTACAGCTAAAGAATCAGATCGCTCACTCTGCGTCGGCACTTTTGATCTCAATGTTTCAGTTTATACACTGTGCAACTTGGATAATACAATATATGACAACCGCCTATAATAAAACAGCAGTCTTCTGCGTATACTGAATTTGTATCCCTGGAGTGGATGTTATTTTGGAACTTTCAACTGGTCCGAGTGAGCTAACTGATTCTTTAGCAATAAACTGTGACTTCAAAAATAATATTCACTGACACTGACAGCAGCAAGCAAAATATCAGGTGCGTTTTAATCATCCGCTTCTGCTTCCGGAATTGTCGGTTTAGTCGTTTTAACCTGTCAGATTAAAACAAGAAAACCGACAATTCCGAAGCAGAAGCGGATGATTAAAACGCACCTATTAAAAATATTGCGCCAAGATGTAGGCAACACGTAATAAGGGTTCAAAATGGCGGAGTTTTGTATCTCCTTTTAAAAGGCACTCAGAAAGCTGCGCAGTGCGACCATTCTCCGTATAGTAAAAGAAAATCAAAGTATGTGATACTTCGTGATTGATAGGAATGGTGCGTTTGATTTGATCATCGGAGATCTCCGAGCGCTGCAATCGTGTTTAAATTGACACTCCGAGAGATCCCTAAAGTGTTTGTTTTGCTTTGGAGCGAGAACATAGAGCGAGCTCGATGTTGTCAGAGCAGAAGGATCGAGAAGAGGGAGAAATTTGTCTTTGTCTCTACCTACCTCTTTTTAATTAACTTACAAATATATTTGAATCTCAAAATTAAAGACCAGACAAGAAGTCGACAAATTACTTAGCCGCTTTTGTCTTCTAGCTGAAATTATTCGTCATAAAGAACACAAAATGTGTGTTATACATTTTCTCTGTCCAGATTTAATCACCAGTAATCACAGTCATGAAATATGAGCGCGAAGCGAGCATTTGTGGTATATGCTGCATTTCAGGGCCATTACCCCTTTTTATTAAAAATTTTTCCATTTTCTTTACTTTTTGCTCACTATTTTGACACACAAACCAGAAACAAGAATCACAGAAAAGCGAGGTTATGTTTTTTACTCTGTTTTATTTGATTTGATTCAATGCTCTATTGTGACGTCATCACTTCTCGGTCTCCTCGACGCTCGCTCGATCGAGTTTCAAATCAAACGCCCCTGAATCTGTTGACGTACAGTTGACATGCGTATCACCCATAGACATCATATTATCTAAGATAGACTCGCCCTTCACACTGTATACCCAATACACCTTCTGTCCGCATGTTATACCAGACGGGGAAAGGGGAATCGTACGTCGCACATAGACGTAGTGTTTCGGGAGGGTTTAGATATATTTTTTACTAAAAATTATTTAATGATCAAATCAACAACCTATGGGTCTTCGGAATCAAAGATAAATTTAAAGAAAACATATTCAGTTTATACAGGGCATTCAAAAAGTCATTTTATATATTTTCTTATAGATTAAAATAGTAGGTAGGTCAAAGTGGAAGAACATTTTTGTTAGTATTTTATTATATATTATCTTTTTTTTTTTAAATACATGAAGAGCAAGTAAAAATATAGCGCCATTTATTATTATTTTTACATGGGTATTGTCAGAAATCCTTTTCTACAGGTCGAAAAAAAAAAAATAATTATATAGCGGACTACCTTTTTTTATGAAATAAAAAACTTATTAAAAACAGTAAAACAATTTTATTTTAGATATATAAATATACAAATAGAATCTTTCCATTAATGATATAATAACTCATTTAGGAGAGTAATCAGCAATGATTTTATAATATCTGAACAACACTTAAATACATTAGCTTAAGATTTTTTTTTTTTTTTAAAGAGAAACTTTATTTCTAATTTGTCCGAATAGAAAAAAACTGAAGGAAGCTTCTTTTGTGACATTTCGAATGTCATTTTACTATCAATGGTTACTCCTACAAACTCTTAATGAAGAACCTGCTCAATAGATTTATTTATTGTGATAACTGATATTTTGTAAAGCATATTTAGGCATAAAAGGCAAAATAGCTATTTGTGTATTAAGAACAGAAAGTAGCACATTTGGCAGTTGAGACAAAAAGTTGCCGAGCGACGCATTAGCGGAGCATGGCAATCTGTCGAAGCGAAAAGTTTTTAAAACATATGCGTCGGTAATTATTTACAGAACATACTGTTAAATGATTTAAAATATTAGGAAGTCAATTTAATATTTTCGATTAACTTATATATTGTTTTAAAATATCAATTATGTAGCTTTCATTTATTTCATTCAAATGAAAACAGACGAGCGTGTGCCAAAGTTACTTTGGTGCACGTTTGCGCCAATAATGTCAAATTATGACAGTTCGCGAAAAACGTCAACTTTCTAATTAGATTTGAATGTGCAAAAGCCTACTTTGGATAGTGATCGTAGAAATTTTTTTAGGGAATAATTACTATGCCATTGTCCCAACAATAACCTGTGAATCTTTTGACTATCTATTTTCTTTTGTTCAATGCAGTTACTATAAACTATTGTCTTTAATGATAAAATTAGTATCGTCTGGAGACAATATACTGTTAGTATATGGACATGTATTAAAATATTTGACATAAAGAATAAGAATAAGTGCATTTTATGGAACCAGTTATTTAAAAATAGATAAAAAATTATAAAAATTTAATTAAAATTAAAAATTACTGATTCTGAAATAAAATGCTTTTTAGGTACATAAAAGATTTGAATATCTAAAATATTTTATATTTAATTCATCATTGACTTAAGCAGTGATAATTTTCTTAAATAAGTTATTTACATCAAAAATAATCCAATAATTTATATAATATATACAATTACAATGTTACCTTTTAGGAAATGATGATCCAGATACATTGTTCTTTAAAAAACTAGAAAATAATTATATATAACTGTATGCTTCTCTCAATATAAATTATTAAGTTACCTTACTGGTAACAGTCTTTTTTTAAAATGTGATGATTTCCGTATAATTTTAGAGCTTACATATTATAAAAATACCCATAATAAATATTGTACTTACTAATAGGTATAGATTTATGTTTTAAAATGTGTCTACCACTTAACTTTTCATAAATATCTGCCATACAAAAATGGTCAGAACATACTAAGGCTTCTTTCATTTTGCAGCCAAATTCTACGTCGAATTATTTCTCTAGGAAACCTGATCAGAAAATATAGAACATTATTATTTAAATAAACAATACAAGTGCTAAATGCACTGTTCAATAAATTAAGCCTTATTCCCTGTATATGCCTACGTCTATGCTAACATAATCTTACTTATAAAATCACCGAATAACATTCTTATTCTGCGTATTTCAACACGCTATACATTTCCTCTCCATCGTAAAAGTCCTTATTAAAAAGTTCAGGGTTTAAATTATTCTTGAAAACTACAAAAAAACACAATAAAACTTGATCTGTCACTTTGACAACACCAGCAAAATGTCATAGGTTGCCAAACTTAAAGGATATATACCAGAATTTTTAATATTCCCATATGATACACATGTAAAAATAGCTAAATAAAAGTATTAAGTGATTGCAATTAATAAAAAACTCATATTGATGCTTTCAATTCTTTATTTCCTTTTTTTATTAGATTGTATAAAAGGGAATAGTAACTTTTTTAATAAAAATTTAATGTTTAATATTTAAAAAAAGAGATCTGACAACATAGGAAGAGCGTACCGTCAAAAAAAAAGTTGCGGACAAGTGTAATGTATACAAGGCGTATCTATTATCCGATATCTTTGGTATCACCTATGAAGACTAGAGATAAGGAGACGAATCGGAATACTCAAAATACGGTCTCAAAAAACGCATGCTAATTGAGCTTCTATAATTAACCGCATGGGCGCTGGTACTGCATACGTTGTTTAAAATACATGGCTTCTTATGGAAATTATACATAATTTTGTCAAATTAATAAAATAAACTTGTTTACATCTAAATAAAGCACAGAACATACTGTTGTATTTATTTCTAAATAAGTCTTGCATGTTTTAATTGACAAATTATTTAATTTTATCTATATAAAATACAAATTAGGTATGTATGACCAAATTCGAAAAGGTTTCTTAATTGCTGAAATTTGATAAGTACAATTTTGTGGAAAATTTTTTTTTTTTTAATTGAACCAATATATAGTTTTAAGAGTAAAATAAAACACAGTTAATAGATTTTTTATTGTTGTAATACAAGTATAAAGGGAGATTTGGGAATGTACATGGTATCCTTTAATTTCAGCTTTCCCCTTTTTATTTTGCTGACAGTACCATCAGTAAAAATAGTCTCATAATATTTGATATCTTCTAAAAAGTATAGAACAGCATCATCTCTAGAAAGTGCTTTATCGACACTAGGAACGATATATATATGGACGGTGTTATGCAACAATGAGCTAACCAACATTTTTATTTTAATGAGATAATTTAGCATTTAACATTAAACACCTGTAAAAAAACAATTGGCAAGAAATACCTTTTATTTTTATCCTTATAGAAACAAACACAAAAACTAAATTTATAAACCAATAAAAATAAAAAAAGTTTTTGACAGAAAAAGCAATGTCAAAGAGGATTAGACGGTTTATGAAAAACTTAATATAAACAGTTGTTAGTTTTGCAATAAGCAATAAAAATAAAATACTAAACTAAAAAATAGGATTGCACCTCTGCTGCAATATACAACGTTTACATATTATATTTTTATCATCTAAGTCTCTTGCAAATTACTTATTTCATAATCTACATCGGCACCAAGTCCTTCAATGTCTTTACTAAAATCTTGCTCTTTCACAGTTTTTAAAAAATTAAAAAAGGGTTTTGCATCTTGTGGAACCAGCTTAAGAATTTCTTTCAGATCCTTAATTTTTTCCACAGACAACGCTTTGCCTAGTGGCCACAGAGGAGGAAGATCTACCTCTTTTAAAACTGGTTTTCGGCCTTTTCCTTTTTTTTCAATATTAACTTCTGTATATACTGAGTCTGATGTACAGGTTTCCATAAATAACAGAGTAGGATTTTCTTTTTTACTTTCCTATCTGTATAAGATATAAGGAAAGTATAGGAATCATGATTTTTTTCGACCTCGAGTTTTCGACGGATTTTTACGTTTTGAGGTACCCTGAATCCGTTTTGACTATTTTCGCGATGATGTCTGTGTGTGTGTGTGTGTGTGTGTGTGTGTGTGTATGCGTGTGTGTGTGCGTGTGTGTGTGTGCGTGTGTGTGTGTGCGTGTGTGTGTGTGTGTGTGTGTGTGTATGTGTGTGTGTGTGTGTGTGTGTGTGTGTGTGTGTGTGTGTGTGTGTGTGTGTGTGTGTGTGTGTGTGTGTGTGTGTGTGTGTGTGTGTCTGTGTGTCTGTGTGTCTGTGTGTCTGTGTGTCTGTGTATCTGTGTGTCTGTGTGTCTGTGTCTGTGTGTCTGTGTGTCGCATAACTCATGAACCGATACACAGAAAAATACCAAATTTTAAACTTAAGCTTTGTTCCAGCGTCCAATAAGCTGATTTGATTTTGGGCAGAGTCGGAACATCTGGGGGGGGGTACTTTATAGGTGGTCATTTTTATATTTTATGGAATATATCTGTTATTTACGTTTGGGGAAGAAAATTTTTCAAATAAAAGTTACTTCTTATATTATTATCTATAATTTTTGTTTTTTACATAATTTTTCTAAAATGGACCGTATTCGAGAAATTTGAAAAAATTGTAAATTTTGAAATTTGAAGAAAACTCAAAAACCGATAAAAAAACATTAAATTTTAAACTTAAGTTTTATTTCGGCCTGACGTGAAATGATTAGATTTTGGACAAAGTCGGAACATCTGGGGGGGTACTTTATGAGAGGCCGTTTTTATATTTTATGGAATATGTCTGTTATTTAGGTTTGGAGAAGAAAATTGTTCAAATAACAGTTACTTCTAATATTATTATCTATAATTTTTGCTTTATGTCAAAATTTCCTGAAATGGTCCGTATTCGATAAATTTGACAAAATGTGCAAAATTCTGATTTTTATGAAAATTGTTGAACTAAAAGTTGTTTGCGATATCGATCTCTATAATTTTTGTTTATACATGATTTTTCTAAAATGGACCGTAATGAAAAAATTGTAGGAAATTTAAATTTTTCAGTATTTTCGTTTTCAATGAATATCTATAGAAAAATGTTTCGAGGTAGATGTATGTGGACAATGTATATATTAAGTTTATCCTCGTAAACATTTATAGAGATGCTGCAATAGGTTGTAGAAAATAACCGGAAAAGCTTAGGTATAATAACTAGATAGGAAAGTCATGTGTTGGACACATCAGATTTTTTAAGGTGATTTCGTGCAACTTATGCCAATTTATTTGTTCATTATTAATATCAGTCTTGCGATTCGTAATAGCTTTTTCGAGGTTTACTACTGATACCATGTCCTGCGGTTTTATACGATTAACAATGAACTTATTTTTTCTACGACAAGTCTTCATAACATCTGTGTAGTCGTCGAGAGTATACAGTCTTTGATGAGTTTTTAGAGAACATTCTACGTCTCCAAAATGGGAGTCGTTGGGTAAGAAACTATGACCGGAAAGCAAAAACTTCAATGAAATTGTTTAGAGATGTGTGATTTTGTAAAACGTGGATGAGCATCAAAACCAATTTGATACTGCGGTTTTGTCCACCACAAGAATTCGACCACAGATTCAATTTTTTAACAGGTACTTTAACATTTTCATTAATAAATTTACGCAAACAAGAACCGACCTCCTGGGTAATAATGCTTTATAATATTTTCTATTCGTTCTTGACTTATAGCATTTTGTCCTCCGCTGTTGCATCCCCTTCTGTCCTGTAGCAAGTTAGTTTTTATTTTTTTAGAGCTACCTGAACTCGATTTCTGTTAATTTGCAAAGTATTTAAAAACGCTTCTTTGCAAACGCAATAATCTGCTATATTGTAAATTTTAGACTTGGATCTTCTCTACAGCAAATTCTTTGTGTAAGTTCTCCTCTTCTCGATTTCTTTAACGCATTGGTTATTAAAACACATCGTCCTTCGAAGCCTCCAACTCCCCATAATTGATCAAATAACCTTTTCCTTGTTTCTAAGGGAACAATATCCATGCATTTTTTCGAACACTTACAGGAATATGCGGAATTAAACGTTTTTGGTTCAACTTCTTTAGCTCTTGCGGAAATATATTTTTTGTTAGTATTCGTATATTTTTTCCTATCTGTTCTGGACTGATTTGAAATCTTCCTCTTTCTTCCACGACTTTTTCGCCCTTTTCTTTCTTCAAATTGTGTAATTGTTTCTCTAGATTCTCTGGCATCTAGATCACTCATGTCCCCTAAGCTGTCTTCTGAATCCGGAATAAATTTATTCCCCGAAGATTGGAATGGCTCTTCAAATTCCACTTGATGGCCTAAACAACGCTCTAAATTTTCTGTTGTTACTTCTGGAGTACTAAGCTCTTGTAAAAAATTATTGTCACTGGAACACCCAGCGGTCTCATCATTTTGAATCACTGATTCTGAGTTAAAATTGATATTTTCAGGAGATTTGGTTGATGGTTCAGCAATTGCAGCAATCTCGCATTTTGGCAAGGTATCAGGTTTTACCTTGTTTTGTGCGAACACCATTTTTACTATTTTTTTTTTCCTCTTAGAACGTTCATCCTGAAGACAAAAAAATATTATTCCATCGACTTTTTTTGTAAAATCAGAAATGAGCTGCTAACTATTTTGCAACAATGGTCTAAGCCACATAATACGTGATAATACTAGTCTAACAATCATTAGTCGTGCTAATTCCACTAATTTACGACTTAAAATAAACCTCTTCTTTAAACAAATAAAAAGTACATTGGTTTAGGCCCATATATTTTACATCTTTATGTAAAACACGTATTTTAAACAATATTTTAGGTTAGGTTTTTCTATTTACTTTTTTGATTTGTATATGAGTACCTTTTGTATCTATATGTTTTAGTTTACCTTCACTACGTTGAACACAATCAATAATAATACAATTCTAATTGTTTACACAAATAATTTTATCATCAGCAACAGGATAAAAAACGAGCAATCATCCACAGTGAGCGATTTTTTAAAATGACCTATCTCACAGATCTGGGAATTTGTGGGATAGACCACTGTTACATATTTCTATAGCATAGCCACGGCATAAGAAACAATCGGCAGGCTCACTTGCCGCTGATCGCATACAAATATTATACTAAGAAAATTTGACCTTGGCGACGCCATTTGGGGGTCTTAGTCAGGGTCGGATTAAAGCGTATTTAAAGATTTTGTAATAAAATAAGGTATTGATAGACAGGATCGTATTAAAATAAAAAAGTAAAAATTTACATAAATCTATTAACTTTTTAGATCTTAAAATCTCACACAATAATAACAAGTTCAACTTTGACATCTATAGAAAGCCAACACATACAGGCACAGTTATAGACAATACCTCTAACCATCCAGCAACACATAAATTGGCTGCCTTTAATTGCTACTTAGAGAGGCTATTAAACGTTCCTCTGTCTACGGAAAACTTTAATAAGGAACTAAATATAATTAAAACTATTGGTATAGATCACAACTTTGAACTAGATATTATTGATAAAATGCTAACACATAAACAAAATAAAATTCAACAAAATTTAGTTTATATTAACAATCCTAATATGGTACATGAACTAACCACCAGTAAGAAATACATTTCTCTTACCTTTATTGGAAAAGCATCCTAAAAAGTGGCTAGCTTACTCAAAGACCACTTTAAAGTATCTTTCAAAACCCCTTCTTCATTACATAAGTTATTTGTTCATAATAAAGATAAATTAGATCCCTTTGACTTATCTGGAATTTATAAATTAACTTGTAAATCTTGCCATTCTTTCTATGTGGGACGCACATTTCGAAATTTCAAGATCCGTTTAAAAGAACATTTACGTTGTCTTAACCAAAATACAACAGGTTTTTCACATTTTGCCAACCACCTACTGGACTCAAATCACGACTTCGATTCAACTGAAGGTTTCGAAATCCTTCATAGTTCCTACAATAGATTTACTCTTAATAGCTTCTAGCCCAATCGGATTAGTATTTTAGATTCTGAAAAATTCGAAGCAGCAATTTTCCTTCGGAATTCGTTGGAGGGGGTCTCTGGTAGTCTAAATTCAAAAAGTTGGGATTCCAAAGTTGTCGTTACCTCCGCCATCTTGATTTAAAGGGTTATTTTTTGTATCTTGAATAACTCATTTATTTTCAATTTTACACGGAAAATAGTTTTTACAAAAGTTATTTAAAATTAAATTTCCTACAATTCTGCTTTTTTTTGTACGATCGATTTTTTTCGATTTATACCCGAAAAGAGGGGGTGAATTTTTGGTTATAGAATAACTCGTTTATTTTCAATTTTACGGGAAAAATTGTTATAAACAAAGTTGTTTAAAATTAAATTTCCTACAATTCTGTTTTTTTTTGTACGATCGATTTTTTTGTATTTATCCCTGAGAAGAGTGGGGGTGAACCTAAGTATTGTATTGTCACGTTTATTATTGATGTTGTACCATTATTTTTTCTGTTTGTTTTTTTTTGCTGATTTTCAAAAATGTTTTCCCCCACTCTTTTCAGGGATAAATACAAAAAAATCGATCGTACAGAAAAAACAGAATTGTAGGAAATTTAATTTTAAACAACTTTGTTTATAACAATTTTTCTCGTAAAATTGAAACTAAACGAGTTATTCTATAACCAAAAATTCACCCCCTCTTTTCGGGTATAAATCGAAAAAAATTGATCGTACAAAAAAAGCAGAATTGTAGGAAATTTAATTTTAAACAACTTTGTTTATAACAATTTTTCTCGTAAAATTGAAAATAAACGAGTTATTCTATAACCAAAAATTCACCCCCTCTTTTCGGGTATAAATCGAAAAAAATCGATCGTACAAAAAAAAGCAGAATTGTAGGAAATTTAATTTTAAACAACTTTGTTCATATCAATTTTTCTCATAAAATTGAAAATAAACGAGTTATTCTATAACCAAAAATTCACCCCCTCTTTTCGGGTATAAATCGAAAAAAATTGATCGTACAAAAAAAGCAGAATTGTAGGAAATTTAATTTTAAACAACATTGTTTATAACAATTTTTCTCGTAAAATTGAAAATAAACGAGTTATTCTATAACCAAAAATTCACCCCCTCTTTTCGGGTATAAATCGAAAAAAATTGATCGTACAAAAAAAGCAGAATTGTAGGAAATTTAATTTTAAACAACTTTGTTTATAACAATTTTTCTCATAAAATTGAAAATAAACGAGTTATTCTATAACCAAAAATTCACCCCCTCTTTTCGGGTATAAATCGAAAAAAATCGATCGTTCAAAAAAAAGCAGAATTGTAAGAAATTTAATTTTAAACAACTTTGTTTATAACAATTTTTCTCGTAAAATTGAAAATAAACGAGTTATTCTATAACCAAAAATTTACCCCCTCTTTTCGGGTATAAATCGAAAAAAATCGATCGTACAAAAAAAAGCAGAATTGTAGGAAATTTAATTTTAAACAACTTTGTTTATAACAATTTTTCTCGTAAAATTGAAAATAAACGAGTTATTCTATAACCAAAAATTCACCCCCTCTTTTCGGGTATAAATCGAAAAAAATCGATCGTACAAAAAAAGCAGAATTGTAGGAAATTTAATTTTAAACAACTTTGTTTATAACAATTTTTCTCGTAAAATTGAAAATAAACGAGTTATTCTATAACCAAAAATTCACCCCCTCTTCTCGGGTATAAATCAAAAAAAATCGATCGTACAAAAAAAAGCAGAATTGTAGGAAATTTAATTTTAAATAACTTTTGTAAAAACTATTTTCCGTGTAAAATTGAAAATAAATGAGTTATTCAAGATACAAAAAATAACCCTTTAAATCAAGCTGGCGGAGGTAACGACAACTTTGGAATCCCAACTTTTTGAATTTAGACTACCAGAGACCCCCTCCAACGAATTCCGAAGGAAAATTGCGGCTTCCAATTTTTCAGAATCACAAGCCTGTTCTTCACCTAATCCGATTGGGCTATTCGAGAACCTCGAGATATTGAGACATTTAAAATTAAATCCTGTTGGTTGCTTAAATGCCCAGATATTGTCAGAAACTCCTCCTGTTTTCTCAACACTAATCTAAATTTATCGTTCTAACTTCCTTTTTAACCTCCCCCCTTTATTTCTATTCACATATCTTCTTGCAAGGGGTACATTTCAGTAAGTAATTTTTATATTTTTTATATTTTTCCCATAAGAAACCAACGAGCACGTAGGTTAGATTGTCTGATATCCACATGCGTCATTTTCTTCTTTTATTCTTCAGTTGCTTCACAACAGTTAACCCAGTCATTTCTTCTTCTTTCTTCTTCCTACAACATCACATACACTTGGTGATTGGTTCATGGCCCAAATCTTATATAATAGATAATAAATAATTCTTCACTCATAGTTTACATCTTATTAACTATACCCTGTCATAAGTTTACCCAAGAATTTTTTCGTTATAATACTTACCACCACCTGTAGAGGCCTTAACTTGACAGGTCTCCTTTCAAAAAATGTTTAAAATAGGCCTTATCTTTTAATCTGTTTAATGTATGTGATTTGTTTTTGTATAGTCTTGAATATTTTAAATTTTTACTATAATTGACTAATATTTGTTTTTTCAAATATTTTTAACTTTTTATTACGTGTAAATCGGTTCATTTTACAATTTATTTCAACCCAAAATTGATGAAACTTGTTTTTGTAGTATTCCCTAGTGGATGGAGAGTATGGTGAGTTTTCTCTTTTTTATTATTTTATATATCGTTTTGTTTCCAAGTTAACACACTTTATACCACATATTCTCCTTTCCACTAGGCGAGCCTGAAGATGAAGTGATGACACTTCGAAACCGGTCGCACTCAATGTTTTGTTAAACAATTAAACATTGACTTTCCTTGTGAGATATAAAGGGCTTTTTCTCACCCTTCACCTTAAAAAAATAAAATATATTTTAATTTAACTTATAAAAATAGCATTAAGAAAGACAATATGCTCTACAGATTGCGCCAAAAAATTAGCTTGTTTTTATTGATAATCTAAAATTTCTATTAATATTTTTAAAGTGTAATATATGAGTAGCCTTAAATATAACTTAATAACATATATTTCTGGAAATCGGGGACAAGGAGCGTCAAATGTTATCTCGGAATTAATTAAATCTAAAAAAAAATTACAAACGCCGGATTTAGTGATAAATAATTTAAAATTTTGCCAAAAATATCTTCGTTTGCTTTTTTTGTATGGTTTATAATAACAATACACGGAGCTTGTATCCAAGTCTTCGTGTAGTAAGGCATATTGTGTACATACATCGCAACGTTGAATTTTAAGCCATTTTTTTTATTAAAAATCCGCATATATAATAAAATTTTCTTAAAAAATATTAATATTTTGTGCATGCAATTCATTAATATGCTTGTTTACATTTACATTTTCGACAATATTGCCACCATTACACGCGATTTTGGAAAATGGCTCATCCTTACTAGTCCTACGAATTTCATGCAGCCTTACAAGTAAAGCATCTCCAC